GGAGTGTTGACTTTTGTATTTTAGGTAGGATCCCAAATTGATATGTAATCCCGTGTATTCTCATGTAATCACTTGTAATTAATTTTTTTTTCATTTATGTTAGGGTTGTATACCTTTAAATACCTCTTATTAAGAAGAATATATCACAATTCAAAGCATTCTCTTCTATACCAATATGTAAGTGATTTGGTTCGGTTTACACCGATTTACAAAAGGCCAAAGCCGTAATCAAACCAATTCATTACGGTTTAGTTTGATGTTTAGACTGTTGATTGGTCAAAACCAAGCAAACTGACCATGACAATTTGGATTGACCAGTTTGGTCGGTTCAGTCTGATTGATGCTCACCCCTAGTTACACACATAATGACTTTTTATGGTATTTTTTACACATTGATTGGAAGGAAAGAGATAAAAGGGTGTAGGAGAGAATGAAGATGGAATAAAATGACCAAAACTATTCAAAAGATTGCTCACACGCATTGCTTGTGAATAAATTTATTAGAAATGATGAGAAGTACTTCTCAGTTTTGTCATGTGTCATTATTTGACGAAAAGATAGATAAAAATGGCAGAGATGTAAAGATTGTAACACAGAGTTTAGGTTGTTAATTTATTCACGTAGTAATTGCACAAAATTAGAAAAAAATAGTTGAACTCATTTGTGATCTTTACCTCAACAAAGACTCTGTTTTTATGCAACAATGTTCTAAACAAGGAAAGAAGGATATTCTACTATAAGGCCTTCCACAGTGGACCCAAAAATTAAGTGTAATACCAATAATCAAATTCCTACATATTGACTCGTTATGCTTATATAACTAAAAACACAAGGGAAAGACGACTAACCTCATCTTGAACCAATAGCCATGACTACCGAAGTAGAGTGGATGAAGGCCAGTAGCAACACCTAGGTCTTCTATAATGTACCCAGCCGGATACAACTACTAAATGTGAAATTTTTGTGTTGTGTATCTAGGGTTTCCATGGACCTTAGTATTTATATTGGGTAGCACATTAGGATTCCGTCCATAAAAAAAAAAAACCCCAAATCCTATATATTTCAAGCCTTTAAATTAGATATCAAATTGGTATATAACTCAAACATCCTATTACCCTTATTGGCAGTCTAAGCAATGTTTAAAATATCCACGAAATTGTCAATATTTATGTTGAAAATATCCAAAAATTAAGGATTGATATGGAAATTTAAGGGGAGGGGGGGATGCAAACTTCACCCTATGTCGACGAGATATAGGAAAATCAATGAATATCGACGATATTTACCGATTCACTGCATAAATTTGTCATAACCTATTGCAAATTTCAATAATTGCCGTCGAGGGCAACCGATATTTATATATCCATCCATATTTTCATAAGTTTGCATATCTATATTTTCACTTATGTCGATATTTTAAACACTGAGTCCAAGACATAGGTTTATAAGCCTAATATGATATAAGATTTTATACAATCTTAGCATTAAACCCTAATCTCACATTCCTATTTAGGACCAATTATAGTTGATTTATATTGAATGAAAATCCAACACAATGAGCCGAAAAATGTGATTCTTAAATTTAAGTATAATATGTGAAAAGATAAACTAACCACATCTAATAAGAGAAGGACAACGACTATACGCTTACTTTGACGACTTTACTCTTGACGTCATGAGTAAACCACATATTACCCCAAAGGAATGTGACATTAGTATGCCTTGTGGATAATATGCCTTTGAAATACCAATATATCATGTGTACACTAGGTCACCAATGATATGTCATGCTATTAAGACATACCTAACCCAATGGTGGCTCAAAAACGACTCTTCAGAGTCTCCCCTTGGGTATCCAGCATGCCAGCGTTCCTACCAATAAGGACCTTCATAATTACTAGCTACCAAGATTATGAAGACTGGTCTGCACCATCAAGGACTACCTAGTATACTCTGCAACCTCCTTTCCCAATTGCCTGCTAGGGTTTAATCTCTATAAATAATCAGGTCAAACAAAGGAAATGGTGATCGCCACTTACTACTTAAAACTCTCTAAGTTCAATTTTTCTCTCAAACTACTTAAAACTCCCCCTTTTTAGGGTGTTCATTAACCAAGCTAACGGTGCTTGTTCTTTTGTGTAGGTAAAATTTCATCAAATCAACTGTGTACAAAATTTGCATCCATATAATATATTGAACGTATAAGTGTGATTCATATACAACAAATGACAATAGCAAGAAAATAGATAATTAATCATAAAAATAGAGGAAAAAAGTAGACGAGTCCCATATTTTATGTATAAAACTACTCCCATCAAACTCACATCATGTAATACGAATGAAATTTATAGTGTCTAGCATAATACGAATAAAACTCATACTGTCTTATTCTTATATATAGATATCAAACTCAACTAAACCAATGTGGAAGGCCTAAGGGGAGATTAGGCTATGCTACGCAATGGGACAACCACTTACTAAGTATCAAACTTAAAACAAGTATAATACGTTATTGTCATCTATGTGAGTCGAACGTGAGACATCTGACTTAAAGTGATTGCTAGACGGTAATACTAGTTGGTATGAGTGGGTTAGCAAAACTGAAAGATAAATGAGAAAAAAAAAAAAAAAAAAGAGTAGAGAGAGGATGGAAATTGGAATGTGATATAGGCAGCTGTAGATGAATGGATAAGGTGGGGTAATTACTAAGGGTTTGGCTTTCGGGCTTTTAGGTTGAGAGTTTTTAGATAGATTTTTAGTTTGGATACAGTATTTATAAAACAAGGGCTAAATAATTAGATTTTAAAAAATTAACATAGACAGGCTGGTGTAGTTCTGACAGTTTTTGAGAATTAGAAACTGGAACAGGAACCATTGCAAACCAGTTCGATTCCGGTCCAAGTTTGAACGGTTTTGGTCAACCTAGATTTTTACTATTTTTTTCATCTGATTGGGTTCAATTTCATTTTTTCAATTTTTATGCGGACCCCTATCTGCATGTAACACCACGGTGCCATCGGTTCCATGAGTAATAACATGTCCTATATCCAACTTAGCTAAATCAATCTCCCACTCTTCCATTTTTGCATTCACCACCCTTCTTTCTTAACCTCTCCTCAAGTGCTTCTCCAACTGGATATCTCAACTCTTGAAATCGATCTTATCAGCATGAAAAAACACTTACTCAACCCTTCCTCCCACATCCTTCCCTTCGAATCCAAATTGCTTGACCCTTGAACTCCCTTAATTTCCATTTTTTCACAAACTTTCCCAACTTTTACTCAAAATCGAACTTCAAAAATTGCTATATTATTTTGTTCTAAAATAGAGCCATGTGGATGACTTACCTTGATGGTGAGGTCGGAAGAGTCAAAGACAAAGTTTGGCAATTCGGAGAGGTCACAGTGAAGAGGGTGGTCACATATCACATAAGAGGAGGGAAGTGTATTGCGGTATATTGAGCGACGTGGGAGAGCCGACGATGAGCGAGTTAGGCGAAGTGTCAGGTGTGTGACGTCAAGATGAATGAGTTCTGAGTTTGGAAGCGAGCGACAAGGTCAAGGTATTGAGTTTGAAATTTGAAGTCTGGAGACTGGAAGCAGGGTACTGACTATTGAGTCTGGAGTCTGGAGTCCGGAGAGGACGAGGGGTGTATTAGTTTGGTATAGTATAATACATAAAACGAGGTCATTTTAAGGGTTTTGATGTTCGGTTCAGTTTGTTCGAACCACTAAAATCGAAAATGAATCAATAAATTATAATTTGGTTTGATTTTTTTACAATTCGATTTAATTCGGTATTCGATTTCGTTTTTTTTTTTTTTTTTCCTTCTGTTAGGGCAACGTTAGCCCTTTTTTTAGATTGGCCCAAAGCCTAAAAAAATAGTCTGGCAGACAAAAAATCCACTCTATCCCTAAAAAAAGGCTGGCCCAAAGTCCACCCCAATTTGTAGGCCAACCCAAAATGGGCTAAGGTAGGAATTGACCTATATGGCGTCATGCTGATGCCAACGAACAACAACTTTTTGTTTTTTGCATTAGGCGCATGGAAAACACTCGCGCATGGGTGTGCGTCCTCAACAACACGACAAAGGCTAGGCCCGCGCTACAGGCGCACTAAAAAGGCACGGGACATGGGCCACGTGGCTTGGCTATGGCCGTTGGATTTCCAACGGTAAAAAAAAATTTGAATTTCAAACCCAACGGCTAGTGATGTGGCAAAATCTGGGGCGTCCGATTCCTCGATCAACGGTCTAGGTTTTTTGACCAAAAAACTTGAAAAAAAAATGTCAAAATTATTACCGTTGGCCACATGTCCAATTTTGGGCTGTTGGATTTCAATCTTTTTGAAATCCAACGGTCCAAACTAATTAACTTATTAAAAATTGTTTAAAAATACAAAACAAATAAAACAAATTTTTTTTTAATTTTTTTCTATACTTTCTAATAATGACACATGACATAACAAGATTAGTTAAAAATCATATTCAACTTTAAAAATAAAATAATTTTTTATTATTTTGTAAAAAAATTAATAATATTTTAATACGAATTGACTAGACTTTGAACCAGCTTATTTTTTAGAAATAAATATGTACTTGATCAATTACTGTTCATCAAAGTTAATTACCATTTATTTAGGTGAATTAAATAGACATTGCTCTTAACCTATTCCAACTAGTTGGCACCTTGACGAATACTATTTTTGACTTTATCGAAAGCATTTCTTTTTGGGTGATGCTATTCACACGTCCTTTTTTATCTATCACACACCCCCTCTTAATTTTTGTTCTTTGATCTTCTTCAATTCTTCAATTCGACAACTAAAAATTATGATAAGTGTGTGAAAGGTAAAAAAAGATGTGAGATAGCACAACCCTTCTTTTTAATCAGCATCAAAAGCTTTTATACGTGGTCAAATTTATGGTGGGGAAATGTAAAAACATGTACGGTAAATTAGCGAGTACAAGCCCCACGAAAACTAATTAAATGGTGGGGAATCGAAGCTCCTACGCACGAATCCCATTATATAAACTTTCCGTCTCGATCGTACATTTTGTGTTCCGTTTCTTGCCCTTGCTATTGCCATCGAAGAACCAGAAGAAGGAAAACTCAAAGAATCCAAAGGGCCATCCCTTCTGGGCTTCTTTGCTTCAAGAAGTGGGTGCCTTTGGATTTCGGTTTCAGGAATGAGAGCAAGAGACTGATATCAAAGCAGAAACACTTTCTCACGGGTCAGTCTAGGTGTCATCAAATATTCTTCCTTTTTATCTTAATTTTTTTCTTTTGGTGAGTTTCAACCGTTGGATTGAGACCCATGTGTTGTTTTTTTGTTTGAATTCTCAGGAGGAGGGGCTCTCTGGTTTTTCTTTCCTGCAATCGGTTTTCCATCGGATTTTGTTGCTGATTGGTTTTACATTTTCCTGGGAAAATCCTTAGATCTGATACTGCTTTCTGGGTCTTCCTTGTATTGCATGCATGGGGTAAGTTTTCTGATTCCTTTTCTGGATTTGGAAATTTTATTGGATAGGTAGTTCAATGGGATTTCTGGGTGTTCTTCATTTGTTATCTTTGTGGAGTAAATTAGATTCAGTTGTACTTGATTTGATTGGGAGGCAACTAAGAGTAAATGGATTGCATTTTATCGTTGCGAATTGATGAATCGAAGATGGGATTTTGGGATTTGTACTTGCATTTAGTTTTTGGAATTTCACCAACTTATTAGCTTAGCCTAGTGATATGATTGTATGTGGTTAAGTAAAGCTAAAAGGTTTTCAGATTTATTCTTTTGTGAAAACAAGAAACACAGAAATTGGGAATTTATACGGTTGGACTTGAAATTTTATTTTATCAACGGGTTATGATTCAATTAGATTAAAGTCAATCCAATCAGATGCTAATCAGAGGGGATTCAACATCTCTTTCGTAATAATGTTGATGGAATGAATATCGTTGGATAATATCTAATAGAGCCGTCCCAACATGGTTCCTTCGATGATTTCGATTTTGGAATTTGGCTGTAACCTGTAAGCATATCCTGATTAAGAGGTTTAGCAGAGTACTCATGGCTAGTAATGATATCAGGAGCTGGAGTTATGTTAGTGCGGGGGATTGTATTCTTTTTTGCTTATGTTGAGCCCTTTGTAATTATAGTTGAGGACATTTTCTGCTTAGTGTTCACTTGCCATACTACACATTTGTATCGACAATGCAAGTTCTTATCTTTTTGAAGAAATAAAATGTTCTGTTTTGTTTGTTTTGTCTTTGCCTGTTCTTTCTTGGGGTGATGGTTTGCAAATCTATCATATGATTTTATGTTTAGTTAGTATTGTTAAATTATATAACTGTATATGATTTCTAACAGAATCAGATGTGGTTTGTAACAGAGCAGTGGTTGTCTAGCATGCCATAGTAAGAACGCACTGAAAACTAAAGTGAACGAGCCACCGAAAGGGTTGTTAAACGAACGTCGGACTGAAAAGAAACCAAGCATATCAGAGGATTTCTGGACCACCAGCACGTGGGATATGGACAACAGTGCAGTTCAGTCCCAGGGAAGCATCTCATCAATCAGCACAAACCAGACGCTTGATCCGCATGGTGGCTCTGGCAGCAATAGCACCCCTTCCGAATTTGTAAATCATGGCAAGTTCTTTACTTATTTGTTGCTTTTTAAGGTTTTATTAATCCCTGGGGATTTCATGTTCACATTTCTGAGAGTCGATTTTTCACATTGGAAATTGGTTTAATGACTTATTATCAGGTGGGTCATGTACAGACTCCTCATGACATTCCAAAGACTCCGCCGCTTCGGCAATATAATCACCTGTAATGAAGTCAACTAATTATGTGTTACTAACAACCCTGTTTCCCGTTTTATTTTGAACTTTTTCCTACTAAATTTCATTGCAAATATAATCTTGTAAGGGTTTTTTTTACAGTTACTGTACTTTCTATGGTTTCAAGAAGGACGTACAACTTTTATTCTTGTCATTTTGTGTATCTTGCTATCATATACGAATGTGTGTGTGGATCCTTGTTTAAGTTATATTACTTGGGATTTGTGGTGCAGGTCTTCTTCTCTGGAACCAGACTAGGCACCGTTGGGTAGGGAATAAAAGTCTGAGAGCCCATCAAAGAAAATTCGAGAACCCAAATTAAGGTAAGTTGCTTCTTCTGTTCTTTATTGAATTCAAGCTCATTGGACCTCTTATGGTTAGATCTGCCACAAAGAACTATTTGTTCATAGGACCTCTTGCTTAACCAGATACATGCTAGACGATTGAATACAACCTGTCTTTCACATTCATCAGTGAATTTTTAAAAATAAAAAAGATAATAATTTTCCCAAATGGGAATTGTTATTGGCACTCCGAAAATCTCATTTTGCACTCCAGCTTTCTATAATTAGAAGGAAAAATACACTTTTGAGGAGTGTAGAATGAGATTATTGGAGTGCTAATAATAGTTCCCCATAACGCTAGTTTTATTCATGAGAACACTATGAATGCAAGGATTTAATCATTCCAAGTTGCATTGCATGTACTAACTGGGGATTGGGAAATTGTCCGTTGAGTGCTTCGTTCACTCTCAAGTGTAAAGTAGGGTATGGGTACTCATGAGTACCTTTCTGTACTTTGTCAGCACTCATTGTCTCAGCATGGTTAAATCATTGTGCCCTTGCAGTTTGAATGCGTCGTATGAAAGTTTACTAGGGAGTTCCAAGCCTTTTCCTCAGCCTATTCCTCTCCCGGTGAGCCCCTGCCCCTGCCTGCCCGCTATTATCCTTAAACACACTATCTAATTTGTTTTCCTGGTTCCTACATTAACAGGAAATGGTAGATTTTCTCGTGGATATTTGGGAGCAAGAAGGGCTGTACGATTGAGCGGCAGAGGTACTAGAGATTTTTAAGCTGGCTAGTTACGAAAGTTCATCCAGGTGTTTGCAACACTATTACTGCCTCCTAGAAAATAGGAAGCAATAGCATGGCTTGTGCATCATCAACTATCACATCATTTTTTGCTTGCTTGTTCTTGGATTTTAACTCTTGCGGCATTTTAGATGCGCCCTTTGTCTACATTTTCGTTTTCAAACAGATTTTATAGGATTGGTTTCTTCCACTGATCTTAGTGGGGGGTTTTGGAAGACGAAGATTGACCTTTGTCTACACTTTCCTTTCATTTTCATCCTCCGCCCCCATGCTGTATCTGCTTCAGTGTTCATTTCTGTTTATAGCTGGGACCGAACCCACTTTCTTTGCTAGTTATGGGTCAAAGTGGAAATATGATTTCTCTGAAATTGTGCATAGGGTTGTAAATGAGTTGAGCCAAATCGAATATACAATTGGGATTTTAATTATTTTGATGACCTTAGGGTATTCAATCAGGATTTTAAGTGATTTTATGAAATTCGAAGTGTATTCAATTAGGTTTTAAGACAGCTTATTAAAATCCTTAAAAATTTAGGTATATTCAATTAGGATTTTAAAGGTAAGTGGTCCTTTACCACAATGATGGAAATAAGTTAAGCTATTACATGACGGCGTGGGTTTGAACCCGGTCGGTGGTTAATTTAACAAAATTTATTGTTTGACAAAAAAAAAAAAAAAAAAATTAGGATGTTTAAGAAATATATAACATTCAAGGTGTATTTAATTAGAAATTGATTTTATACTTTGTTTGGATGAATAAATTTAAGATTACTAAAGAATTTTAAAATGACGAAAATTGAAATTACGGGATTTTATTTTCTAGAATTTGTGAATTTTCTTGTTGGTTAACTAAAAACAACAATGTAATTGAATACGAATTTTGTTATTTTTAAACTCTTAATCATATAAATGACGCTTATTTACATTGAATTTAATCTTAGAAATTGAAAATACCAAATTTCAAGTTTTTTTTTCACACAGAAATTCTAAATTTCTACATTTATAAATCTAAACAAGAGAATTGGTTCATGTTAATTTATAAATTCTGACTTTAATTGAAATTCCAAGTTTATTTTCTCGTCCAAACATAAATTTGAAAAAGTTGAGGAATTCGACCATCTTCAATGGAGATTTTAAATTTTGAATATAAAATTTAAATTTGGCAGCTCATGTGGCACTTTAACATATTTTAAAATTTTACTTTCCATTCGATATGTTAAATTAAATTATTATTTTATTGTATTAAAAATAAATTATTAAACAAATAAAAAAATTAATAACAGACATTGAATTAATTATTAAATGGCACCGTCCACCTTCGTTGATTTTTTATTTTTATTTTTTTATATGTGTTTGAACCAAGAGGAATTTCATTAGAACAGGGGGACCTCCGGCGAGAAACAAAGGGAGAAAGGCACAGACGCCAAAACCCCAAAACAGCATAAAGAAACCAAGAAAATACAATTAAACTCAAGTAAAACCCCGTAGCTCGACAAGGACGGAAGGCGAGGATAAGGAGACCTTTCGTCGGTTGAAAAAAAAGAAAGATGTACGATATAAACAAATAACCAATAAAAATTTAATAAAAAACATTTAATAATTAATTAAAAAATATTTGAAGCTGTTGTCAAATTTGATAGTAGCCTATTTTCTGCCAAATTATGTCATCGCCACATAAGAATTGTCATTTCGGTTGAAGAGTATTAGTGTTGTTGTTGTTTTTTTTTTTTTTTTTTTTTTGTTTTGTTATTGTTATAGATGATTTGGACATTTTGACATCTCTCTTGGAGATGCTCTTAGAGGGAATTAGAGAGAATTTATAGTGTAATTTACTCATTCACAAATCTTACCTCTCCCTATGAGATTTTGATTTTGAGGGAATTGAATTAAAATTTTATATAGAATATCTACAAATCAAGTAAACTCTATAAAAATCCGTGAATTTATAAATCTATTGAAATCTCTCAAATTCCCAATTGAATACTACCCTCTTAGCCTGCACATTTAGTTTCTAGCATTACCCCTTACTTTAAGAAGTTGGTTCCGTTCTTTAATATATGAAATATATTTTTATGGATAATATTAGAGAGACCAAATTTTAAGCCAAATGATGTGTAACCATAAAAAAAAAAACAAGCATGTTAATTGACAGTTAATTAATAATTCAATCATCTATAATGTATAATTTGATTTGCAAGTTTGGTTCAAAAAATTTGATCTTCTTAGCATTATCATATTTTTATTGTGGTCTTTGGTCCAATTAGTATGACTTTCTTGGCCCTTCGTTGCATATGATTTTGGGGTTAATTGTCAAAAAGTCATTTCATTTATGATAAAAACGGGTGCTGTTATTATCATTTTTTTTAAATAAAAAATTATTGTGCACTTTAAGCTATATGTAGAAAGAAAAAATACATTTTGAAGAATGTTAAGGGTGCTCTTTCAAATCCACTTCTACTTGAACTCTCTACCATCTTATAGTTTAACGTCAATTTTTGTGTAGATTTAATGAGCATAAGAAAAAGGCAATGTGCTAAGAGAGAAATATAACTAATATTCCTCTCTACGAGTAACCCTCGTGTAAAGATAGCTATAAAATTTAATATGAATAAAATAACTTGATGAAAAATAGTAAATTTTGTTTTAAAATGAAGGTGTTATCCATATACTCATTTGCACACCCGCATTTTAATTTTTATCTTTCTATTTTTTTTTAAATTTATTTAATTCAAAGATTAAAAATATAAAGAATATATAAGAAACAAAAAGAAGTGTACAGAACCACCCTTTCAAAATAATCTTACAAAAAGTCTTTAACATGTCTTTGGTTGGATTACTTCTCAAAAGAGTAATGCTTGAGAGACTAAATTTGTAGGCTAAATTTTAAAACCAAATAATGTATCACTAATAAAAAAATAAGAATGTTTACCAATATTAAGTAATAATTCAATCATTAATTTTTATGTTATCTAATTTCCTTTGCATTATCCCTTAGTAATTGTTAATGTAAAAAGCAAGAAAGTAAACATAGTGAAAAGACGTGGGATCAGGTGCATTTCCCTTGGCTCCATAGAAACACTTAGTCAAACAAAAATGATATTTTTATCATATTTTTAATATTATATTTGTATTATTTCTCTTATAAAAATATAACTCTCGTTTATTCATAAACTTTACTTTTAATAAAAAAAATAGTACAAGTATAAATATGATACGAAAAATGCGATAAACGTAGCATTTCTCTTCAATTGATCGTGCTTGTGTTAAACCTTATCTCATGACATGTTTGAGAAGGATCGAAGAACTTCGATAGGAAAAGGAAAGAATTATCAAGAACCATCCTTCAAATTGTGACGTGTCCACTATTCCACGCGCCAGAACTTGTCAGACTCTTCTACACACTTGTCTAAAACCCAAGCGCAAGTCTCTCTAAATTCAGAAACTGCCCTCCTCCTTTCTCCATCAGCAAACATCCTAACAACAAATACCCACAAATCCAAAATCTTCATAACCCTTGAGTTAACTAAGTTATCTTTCAATGGCTTTGGCACGTTTGGCGTTGAAGAAGTTGCACCAGAGCCAAAGGGTGCTTTCTCCACCACCTTTTTCTGCTGCTTCTTCTCTTCTAGGTCACGGTGTTGGTGAGAGGACAGTTTGTGGAGAGTGCAGAGGCAAAGTTGGCAATGAGATTGCGAAGAGGTTTTCTACGGCAGCTAACGACAAGGCATCCGATGAGAAATCGGAGAACAAAGATGTCGCTGTGTCTCCGGGCAAAAGGTCGAGGTTGTTCCCTAGAAGGCAACGCAGAAGGGGCCTTTGGAGGGACAATGACAGAGACTTCGCCCCTTCGCTTTATGGTACTTTCCTTCACTCCTCTACAATTTTATTTTTCTTGCTAGTCTTTGATGCTAAATTTTCTCATACGTACTAGTATATTTTGTTGTCAGATGGTTAATTAATCGAAATATCTTATTAACAACATACTTTCAATTTGAATCATTGATTATTTCAAATCCTCTTAAAATTATATATGTTAGACTGTGAACATGTATAATTCAATTGACAGCCCGACATTTTATTTTAATATTATGTTGTTAGACTGTGAACATGAATTATCGGTTATTTACCTTATTGTTTAATTGTATTTAAATTTGTGATTCATATTCACTGTATGCAGTGTGTCACCTTGTTTTTCAAAGTCATCTCTCAAATATGACTTTTGATGAAATGGTTGTAAAAGCACAGCGCAAAGTGAAATTTCTAACGAATTAATTCTTTTGGACTTCCTAGAATTCTTCCCCTCAGGCCTTGGAAATGCACTTGTGCAAGCAACTGAGAACATAAACAGGCTGCTTGACAACCTAAACATATCACCATGGTCGCTGTCCGGGCGTGTCAAAGAGCAAAACGACAGCTACAAACTGCGGTATGATGTGCCAGGGCTTGCCAAGGAGGACGTGAAGATCATTGTTCATGACGGGTTTCTGGAAATCAAGGGAGAGCACAAAGACGAGGACGAGGAAGGGTCGGATGATGAGTATTGGTCATCAAGGAGCTATGGTTACTATAACACAACTCTCAGTTTGCCTGATGATGCCAAAGTTGATGATATAAAGGCAGAGTTGAAGGATGGGGTACTGAGCATAACCATTCCTAAAACTGAGAAGCCTAAGAAGGAGGTGAAGGAGATCAATATAAATTGACGGGGAATCTGATCAATCGAAAATGATATATTTGTGTATGTGTGTGGTTGTGTATTTGTTCATGTTGAGATGACTCTCCATCTTGTTGAAAGATCTGTGTTTTAAGATTATGAATAAACATTTGCGACGACTCTTATGGTAGCCCTTCGAATCAATTCAACTTTATTTTTTTCTCTTTCAGATGATAGGTGATTAAATTCAATTTTTTTATTATTTTTTGCACCATCACTTTTCTCAATAGTCAGAAAGGATTTTAAAGAGTACATATCTAGGGTGGTGTTCAATCAAAATTTGTGAATCTTGAAAGTTTAGAGTATTCACTTATAATTTTAAGGGAGTTAGATACAATTCATAGAAATTCAGGATTTTAAATAGTGTATATCTTTTCTCTTTCGTTCACTAAATACAATAAATTATTGAAGCCTCATCTAACAAGGTGGTGGATCGTCATGATTTATATGGTATTTTGAGTATATGTTGAACCTAAAAATTATTTAGCCTACATAATGTGCAGGCTGAGCTATTAATGAGCTAATTACATCTTTCTAGTCAA